GGGCGACTGAAGTCTCGGGCATCAGTGACTACTGGAGGGCGCCAATGAACTCGGATAGGGCGAATGTGATCTTCAGAAGGCCACCGGGTGATCTAGAGGGGTGCAATGCTTGGATGGGGTCACTGCTGCCTTCCTTCAGTAGGGTGTCGGACGCTCTGAAGGGGCGCCATTGATCTCGGATGGTCCGACTGTTGTTTTCAGAGGGACACCAGTGGTTTCAGAGGGGCGCCATTGATCTAGGATGGGGCGAATGAAGTCCCGGTTCAGGTGGGCGCCAGTGGCTCTTGAGGGGCGCCAGCGACCTTGAATTGATGGGGCGACTGTGATCTTTAGAAGAGCGTTGAGGGGCGCCATTGGGCATGAATGGAGCCGCTGTTGCCTTCAGCAGGACGCCGGACGCTCTAGAGGGGCGCCTTGAGCTTGGGTGGGGCGACTGTAGTCTCAAGGGGCGTTGTCTCGGATGGGGCGAATATGATTTTCAGAGGGGCGCCGGGTACGAATGGCGCCATTGGTTTCAGAGGGTTGCCAGCAGCTGTGATCTCCGTTTAGATGGGCGCCAGTGACTTTTGAGGGGCGCCAGCGACCTCGGATGAGGACGACTGTGATCTTCAGAAGCGCACCGGACGCTCTGGAGGGGCGGCGTTGGGCTTGAATGGGCGACTTCAGTCTCAAGGGGGGGGGGCGCTAGTGGCTCTCTTGAGGGCGTTATTGATCTTGGATAGGGCGACTGTGATCTTGAGAAGAATGCAGGTGCTTTAGAGGGGCGCCAGTGGTTTCAGTGGGCGCCATCGATCTTGGATGGGTCCATTGGGGCAGCTGTGAACTTCAGAGGGGCGCTATCAACCTTTAATGGGGCGACTGTTCCGTTCAGGTGGGTGCCAGCGGCTCTTCAGGGGCGCCATCGACCCTGGGGTTCGGAATATTCTGGTTTCCGGAGGGGCGCCCTTCAACATTGGGGGGCTCAGGTCCTATTTGGGGGTGCCCTGGAGGACATAGGGGTGTCCAGGCACCCCCAAAGAGATATTGAGTTCGATCCCTGCCTGCACATCACTTTTAATTCATGTTCCCTCTGTAAAACAGCATCAGCCTAGTCGGCACTAATTGGGGCGCCGTCTGGGCGGCTGGGCGGAAAGGGGGGGGGGGGGGCATGGCCCCCATGGCCCCCCCTAAATACGCCACTGATCACAGATGGTTGTTCTGATGTCGGTAGTTGAACCTGCCCTGCCTCTGACAGTTGTATGGTTATCGCCGAAGAGGAGCTGATATATCCGGGATGAGATATTTTCTGCCGACTCCAGGGCACCACGGGATACAGTAATTACCCTCCGCACCTGGCATCCACCTAATAAAGTGCCGTTCTTTTTGCGTTTTATTGGTTACAAGTTACGGGCCTATTTATACCGATGGTATCTCATAAGCATTTGCACCACTACATACACAGCGTATCGCAGTAGCGTAGTCGTAAGAATTAAATGAGCAGTTATGTCGAGAAACTGTGCGTATTTATATGCTGACAGTTTCCGAAAATAAGTCGTAAATTAAGTCGTAAAACTGCTCGATTAGCTGTTTATCCCCATTTACAGTTCTTCATAAAATTAAGCTGTCTCTTTCGACCAAGCTGCCTTTGTCTCTTTTGCAGCTTGGTATGGCACTTCGTGCTGTTGAGGGTTCTGTGTCTTCAGTTTCCACGAACACATAACCTACGACTATGCCATTTTCGGGAATCTCCCTCCTGTGTGTCATGCCAAAACGCCATTGGTCTTGGCGCGCTGTCGTAGCCTTCGAAATTATTCGAGGTTGACGATGGTTAGCCGTGCGGTTTCTCCGTTTCGGAGATGGTTTCACGATCATGCGCGTTTCTTTGGAAGCCGGAAATAGCTTTTCGGAATGAATCCTCGCGAAATCGTCGGTGATATTTCGCGGTGAAGTATGTCAAGGCATGTGAATTGTTCCCAAAGCATGCACGTGAACCATTAATCATGCAAAGCCTTATTTGCATCGGAAATATTCTGGCAGGTAACATGATTTTAATGGCTCGGCTGTCTCAAATGTCGACTTGTTTACGTCATAGTGCCGTCGTTATTTAAAGTTTTACGATGACGCGGTAGAGGTTTAGTCGCAGGATTATCGGTGTCATTAGGTACGCTGGTTCCGCTTAGATGCACATCATATGCCATATCATTCACATACGGATCAGATGTTTTGTAAGATAGTGTATCGAATTTGAGGCTGGGCATTCCCACACAACCTGTATTCACTGTTCCTTCAGGTAAGAGTTCCATAGTATATCCATTTTGAGTAAAACGGATAAAACGGATGTTTTACCATCTTATTTACAACGTGTTATGCTTTGAAAATGTGTTTTCTGTTGAAGCTGATCGATCTATGCTCAATGATATTTTTCACAAACATTGGTGACTAGCAGAGCTCAGCTGGTTATTGAATGTCCTTCGTATGTAATCCAGGTAAATATCTAGCCCCTGTGTTGTTACACGCTAACAATCACGAATGGACTGGCCCAAGGTCCCATAAGACGAACCCACAACCAGCGCTGACTTCGCCTTGAGACAGTAGCTGCTGTGGTTTTTGGGCCATGTGGCTCAACTATCAGCGCCATTATAGACTCTGAGTCACTCGGAAGTCAGAGTCATTAGACGACACATGGCCAGGAGTCGACAGGACAGAGTCGACTCCCCAGCTGTGATTACAGTCGATCGACTAACTGTTTGTGTCAAGGGCGTTGGCGACGGCGCCGGTACACGCGCTGGGGAGGGTCAGCAATAGGATGGGTACAGTCACCCACGTGGGTGGTTAATTGAGCTCAAACAAGAGAGAGAGAGAGAGAGCCCACGCCGGGCCGGGTCACGCGCTGACCAGCGAACAACGTCAACTTTTTCCGTGAAAAACACGACCTGCGTGCTCACGCTTTACCTTACCCGGCAGACGGCTGGACGAGGGGCGGTTATCCTCAACACACTCAGACAATTACCTTTGCAAATAGTGACCATCGCCGCCCCCGCCCCCGCCGCCGCCCCCGCCGGGCCGGCCGGCGCCGCCCACCGGCGTGGGTCCGCCCCAGGGCCACAATAATTGGGGGGTGAATCAGACGCTAGGCGGGCGACTCTGACCCAGTTTGGCGGACACAATTGGGGGATCGATGAAGAGCGGCTGGGTCCGTGGAGCGTCACACGCATCGTGCGACGATACCGGTGTGGCGGGGCTCGGTGGGCGACCGTATCGCTGTCGGTGGAACGGTGTGCTAGAAGGAGGTAGTGCATGCTGAGCGCAGTGGCGGGCGGGAATTGGTGGCGGTGTGTGGTGGCAAAGTGGTGTGCGAAGGTATGGATTAATGGTGCATCTGTGCGGTGATCGGATATTCGAGACGGGATGTGGTGTTACGGTGATAGCTTTGGCGTGACCGTGTCATAGCATTACTGTGCCGATAGTTGTAGGCATTTAATCGCAGCGCTGAACGGTTGGAAGGAGGAGGGTCGGAATGGAAAACTAGAATCACAGAATGTATCTCCAAGATCCTTGGTCGCAAGTACAGGAGCGAGAGACAGTTATTTGAAACGCTACAAAACAAGCTAAATTCTGCCAAGACAACTAAAATCACTTGTGTTGGTTTGGACTTCGGACAAAGGTCCACTCTTATCTTTTGCCCTCTCTTCTCTTCTCGAGTCTCCAATACTCATCTCCATAACATCCAATACGCATTACTGAGCTACCGGCAGCCAGCTCAGCTCACAGCTCATGCCGTCTGCATTATAGCGGTTACCGTGGCAGTGACCGACCGTTGTCTGCCAGCTCTGCCTGACCACCGGTCTGCACGGCTGAGCCCTATAAGGCGCTTCCGTTTCAGGGAGAGTGGGAGAGAGAGCGAGGGAGTGCAGGTAGAGAGAGAGGGAGAGAGAGAGAAAGAGAGAGAGAGAGAGAGAGAGAGAGAGAGAGAGAGAGAGAGAGAGAGAGAGAGAGAGAGAGAGAGAGAGAGAGAGAGAGAGAGAGAGAGAGAGAAGGAGAGAGAAAGAACGCTCGACGAACGAGGAAGTGCAGGTAGATTGAGCAGAAATGAGGGAGGATTGCATAGTGCTACCACAGCTCCCTCAACCTCACAGGATGCTCTCCAGTGCCGGTGAGCCGTGAGTTTTAGAGCCGTGGACAGCCACAGCAGCTCGGCTTTTGGATCGCACGTCCCCACTTTATCATTCTGTCGGTCTGACGATCCGGGAGATTTTCAGAGACTGCCGAACTCATCCGGCCGGTCTCGGCTCGGTCACTCGGGAGTTCTGGTCATTTCTGGATAGTGACCGTTGCCATGTGGTGTCGGCTGACCTCTACAGCTGCTGGGGGCGATGTGTGCTGGCTAGTCGTGGCTAGTCTCAGCTAGTCGGCTGGTTATAGGGGTCAGCGGTGTGGAGGTTTTAGTTCCAGCGTTATGCCGATGCTATTTTAAGTCCGCTTTTGTGTGCAACGCTGCATTGTGGCTACAGTGGCTTCGGAGACGCTTGAAGTATTCATTCTCCAATAGAAATCTGACTATCACTCTTGATCGTCTCAGGCCATCGTTCATTGATCACTGGTCACTTCTCACTAGACACTGTTCACTGACCAAAGGTCAAAGGTCACTGGTCACTGGGCAAAGGTCACTGGACAGCATTCACTGGTGAATAGGTACCACCCACTACCATTCCATAACCACTACCGCCTCCCCCGCCTCCACCGCCCCCATGGCGGAGCGGTAGCCGCTCGGCCAGAGGTGACCGACAGAATTTGTCGGCCCCCGCCGGCAGGTCGAGCTCACTGCTCGGTTCGTGCAGCGCCCTGCTGCCGGTCGAACGAGGAGCCAGTCGTGGTCGAGCGAGGAGCCAGTGACGGCCGAGCCAGGAGCCAGTCGTGGTCGAGCGAGGAGCCAGTCGCTTCCGAGTGGTGGTGTTAGAAGGGTGTGTTTGAGTCAGGAGGGTTTGGAGGGGTATTGTAGGGCGTGGAGGGGTGCCAAGAAGGTGTGGAGGATGCCAGAGGAATTTGATGGTCCGAGAGAGGTTGACTGAGGTCACAGGTCATCTGACTTACTGTGGCTTATAGTGGTCACCGTGGTTGGAGGTGGACAGAAGATGGTGGTGAATAGAAGTGTGGTGATGTGACACTGGATGGATTTCGGTGTAGAATTTACAGTGATTCGACTGCAAATACAGGCTACAGTGATTGACAACCCTTGATACAGGCCGAGAGAACAGCTGAGACAGCTGATAGCGATCAGGCCGTGAGAGGACTGAGAAAAGGTGTTTGAGCCGGCAAGAAGCCGGTAGCTCTGGAGGAGCCTAGATTGCAATTTCTTGCGGTGAGGGAAGAAAATATTATCTGGTCTAGGCGTATGTCGGAAGTGATTGAAAGTGCTATGTTCGGAGACTCCGTGATTTATAACTTGTGTTGAATGTGTTTGATCTGTTTTGACAGATCGCCGCGCTCAGCGAAGCAGTACATTTTATGTAGGAATAACTACAGGAGCGAATGCGCTAAATACTAATTCATGGCCTAAAGCAAGTGCTGTGGTGCGACGCATACTGGACATACCTGAACGTTGTGCGGCTCGCGAAATAGCGTTCTGGTGTGAACTGAGCGCGCAAAGCCCGAAATGGTTCTGAAAACAATGAAGTGTAAAATACCACGACCGCCAGGAATCCCCAGACTCGGTGAGTACTTCCTGTAAATAGTAAATACTTTATTGGGTTATCAATCAACATGAAACGCTGCTAACGGGATTGTTGGACAATGGATATTTGGACGTGCTGTGTTCGTTTTGTGTTCTGCGAACATTTCAAATTATTTGTGCATTACGCTTTAGATCGTTCGCAAATCGCAATTATTTATTTTGTTAATATGTGTTCTGTTCAACGATTATTTTTGCTTAAGCTCATACTGACATATATGGCAAAAGTCCATTATTCAAAGTAATTTATATTAGGACCAAAACGCCTTTCGATTATATCGTCATCAGTTGGTCCTAAATAAATTTAGGACCAACTGATGACGATATCTGTAATCGAAACGCGTTTTGGTCCTAACATAAATTATTTTGAATAATTGACCTTTACGATTATTTTTGCGTTACGAGAATTAACTATAATGTGACGGTTACCGTTCCCCAAACGTTCTACAGATATAAATTGGTGAATTTGAAATTGCTCTTCGGTTGACTGATTTCATCAAGGCGACGATATTTATACGAAAACAAAAACATCATATTACACTTCTTGGATCGTTTCCATTTTATTCATTCAAACTAGTCCAAAAACAGGTCGAATTCCGATCACTCGGATAATCGGATTATCGCCTCTTATCACCAAACACGCTAGCGATTCCGACTCATCCCCTAATCAACTATTTTCGCTTTGGCGATCGCTGTGATTCGACCCAAACAACTCATTTAGGTTTTCTCGGCTACAGGCGCGTGGCAATCAGAAATAAATATGTTTAATATAAAAAATAGCACTGACGAATAGCGTTTTCAGCCATTGAACACAAGCCTTCGGTTATTTCCTTCGGCTCTATCTGTCTATCTGTCTGCCTGCCTGTCTGCCTGTCTGTCTGAAATTTTGTCGGTCAGAAATGTTTGTCTGGGCCTCGCTACCCTGCTTGGGCGGCGCGATTGTCACGGTCTGGTGGCAGCAGTGGTTGGCGTGTAAGGGGTAGGGGACACGTTTCATTGAAGGGGAATGCGATAGAGGGGGCTGTCGAGGCCGGAAAATGCCTCGAGGTCACGCGTCAGGGTTAATAGGTCACTGGACATGGCCGGTGACGCTGGTTTTCAGAGCCCATTGACGCCGGCTCAGCAGTGTTAGTCGAACTGTGCTGTGCGGTAGTTGATAAGGTTACCGAAGTGGCGTGTCTGGATGTGTTCTATGTAACAGTGTAGCAGAACAACACTGTGACGTTCAGGCGATTTGGGACTGTCTCAGCAATTATTGTGAGTAATTGCAGTTGAGCTAAGGTAGATGTCATTGCGAGCCTGGTTGATGCTTTGAATCCAGTCGGGCTTCAGGTTTATTTTTCTGTCGTAGCATTGCAGTTGATGATCACGTGTAAATCAAATCGTGTGCACTCTAAGGCGTAAACACATCAGTCATTCTGTGCCCGAATGTCATCACCATTACTGAAAACTATTAACCCGCGCACCGACGGGGGGGGGCGGATATCCGCCCCCCCCCCTGAGGTTTTTCGCGAATAGCGGGAAAACCGCGGCGCGTAGCGCCGCGAAATTTGGTATGACTATTTCCTTATCAATTTTACACATGGTGTGCAAGTTTGAACCTCCTACCTTTCAAGGTCAGGTCACCAGGTCACTTTGAATGACCCAACCTCAAGTCACTTTTTTGCAACTTTGTCACCGTGCCAGAGCTACAGTAGATGTCGGAGGCCTTTGAAAGTCGCAGGATGTTATTAGGTCATTAGTAGCTACAATTTGTATATCTCGGAATTTTGATATCGGTGACCTAAGGTCAGGTCAATTTCGCGACCTCCCCATTATAAGTCAATGGGGGAAAAATCAACTCCCTGTTTTTACCACTAAAACGGGTCGGAATAGCCCCATATACCATACATGACTTCATATACGATCAACCTTCACTACCTTGAGGTCTGTTTTGCTGTTGGGCAGCTGTGAGGTCATGTGACGTCATCAAAGGTCACCAAAGGTTTTTGGCCAATAACTCCGTACAGGAACAAGATACAGACGCGTGGATGGTCTCATTGTGTTCAGCTCGTCAAGACGCATCGAATGATATACATGATGACCTCGAGGTCACGTGACCTGAGGTCAACCTTTGACCTTGACCTTTCGAGGTCAACATATATCATTCGATGCGGATTGACGAGAGGATCACGATGATGCCCTTAGTTTGTTCCTATCTTGACTAATTCGAAAGTTATTCGAGAAAAACTCTCTCCATATTTAGCGCCGCCATTTTGACTTTTTCGACCCCTGTGACGTCATCTTTGACCTGACCTGAAAATGACCTTAGTAAAAATTGTAGATCTTGACCGTGCGTATCCGATGCCGTTTACCGCTTGTCGCTATCTTGCTTCGTTCTCGAGATCTCAGGGGGGGGGCGGTCATCCGCCCCCCCCCGTCGGTACTAAGTTGGCGCAGACCCCCGTCGGTGCGCGGGTTAATCTGATAGGTGCATGCAGAACACATTTGTGACTGGTAACTGCAAAACGGCAAATATTTGTGTTGCGGCTCGCTGCATACTTATGCATAAACCCGTATGTTCCAGCTTGGGTATATTTTCACTGCCGTTAGATCATAGACAACCTGAACGTCATGTGGCACTGTGAATCACTTCATTGTCCTTATTTTATTTTTGCTATTGTCCGATCCCTTTTTATAATTGAACCAGCTGCAACCGATCTTTGATATATCACTATGCAACAGTCATTTTGTTCCTGAGTAACGACCGATTTTTTTGAACTCATTGGGTGTCATTATAACCGAAATGGGCATTTGTTTTGATCTGAAAATGCTTTTCCGGTTTTCAGAGACGATTTTCGATTTTTGGCCCCGAAATTCGGTTTTTGGCCCACCGTGTCCGGTGTAATTGAGTAATCGACTCGTGGTAACTTTCATCGCCTTTCCTATGCCACAAGCTTTCGAATGATATCCGGTTTTGCATATTTACGTGTAAAAATAACGTCATAAATCTATGTTAAAGTAAGAAAATGTTGAAACTTCGTAAAAATTTGACATTTTTTTCGATTTCATTTCAAAATAGAGACAAAACTAAAGACCATATCCAAATTCTGAGCCCAGTTCCTTGAAGAGCATTCAATTTCCGTTCGGAAGGTACTATTTTAGTGCATTTTATCGGTTTACTGTGGCGTCCAGATCGAGTCACTGGAAAAACGGGCCCCCAGCCATTTCCATGACAATATGTGTTCAGTGCATGAAGAACCATTCTAACAAATGGAGGTACAGATCAAGATTCTGAGCGACAGGACTGCTCAAAACTAAGTTCCTGCGTGTGACACGAGGTCACAAGGGGTCAACAACATGACCTCAGTTGACCCCTCGTTGACCCTATGGCGTTAACATTATCAGGTTAATGCTATGTGATATGACCTAGGATATGTGTTTAGGTTAACTCAATCTGGACGCCACAGGAATCCGATAAAATGCACTAAAAAAGTACCTTCCGAACGGAAATTGAATGCTCTTCAAGGAACTGGGCTCAGAATATGGATAGGGTCTTAAGTGTTTTCTCTATTTTGAAATGATATCGAAAAAAATGTCAATTTTTTACAAAATTTCAATATTTTCTTACTTTAACATATATTTATGACGTTATTTTTACACGCAAATATGCAAAATCGGATATCATTCGAAAGCTTGTGGCATAGGAAAGGCGATGAAAGTTACCACGAGTCGATTACTCAATTACACCGGACACGGTGGGCCATAAACCGAATTTCGGGGCCAAAAATCGAAAATCGTCTCTGAAAACCGGAAAAGCATTTTCAGATCAAAGCAAATGTCCATTTCGGTTATGATAGGACCCAATGAATAAGAAAAATTCGGTCGCTTTCCAGGAACAGAAAATCTTTCATTTTTTGTTGCATAGTGAGAGGTAAAGTTCTAGTGCAGTGTCCATAACAGATCATAGGCTGACCTTGCAACTCACAAATATCATTATTTGAACAGTTTGCTATCGACCATCAAGCTTCGATGCTAGATCGGTATGTGCCGTCATAATTTGATTCACCTAAGTCCAGGCTCATCGCAAAAACGACCGCGCGTCTATGCTAAAACTAGCACAAACGATGCTCGCAGCCTTTTATTCCTTCTCAGCCACCGGTGTATTTTTAGCTTCAATAATTCACACAAGCCCCCGCTGTTTCGTCGAGTTTGTGTCTATTTTTATCGCCAAGTGGCTGCTTCGGCTCACGTCTTTCTATCCGTTCTAGAACTTTGTTGGTTTGTCGTGATCTGAGAATGACTCGTAAATGACTCGTGAATGACTCGTGGCTGACTCGCAGGATGACGCTCGTGACGTTGCACGTGCTAAAGTCATGATGGCACCTCGTGACCACAGCGTGACGCTATTGTGACCCTATTGTGACACTATCGTGGCGATATTGTGGCGATATCATAATGATGTCATGGAGGTCGCAAGTTCTGGTAACCCTGTGAGAAGTTTCAGATGGATCGCGTGTAAGCGTGAAAGAAACCATATTATTTTTAGCTGAGACCTCTATGGCAGATAGCGTGCTGAACAGATGCGAGCACTTGCAATTCCCAGATCACTCGATTTAGGCCAGTGTTTGTTCACATGACTTATTGTCGCCTGAAAGCGAAATGTCACAGCTGAATTCATCATTCATTTGATGAAGCGGTTTGTGCCATGCAATTTTACTATAAATGGTTATGGCTTCTATTGATATCTAGTCAGATGGTTGTTCCATTTTAAAGTTTTTTACTCAATCCTAAGTTTTTAAACAATAGCCTGGCCTTCTAATCAACAAACAAACCTATCATCAAAACATTTACTCGGTAGCCACTTGGTTTTAAAGTTGATATCTGTTTTCTAGAGTTCAGTGCGTAGCAGTGAGCTGTGAACACCACAGGTGTTGCTCTACCCATCGTCACGGCTTATGACTCACGGCATCTCAGCTCGTGACCCGTCAGTTGCCAATGTAG